AAAAAATTTATAATGGAAAAATGTAAGAATAAAGTAAGCAATGATATCTATAAATAAAATTAGTGAAACTATTTAAACCATTATGTATTTGGGAGTGTTAAAGATACCTGGCAATTCTCAGTGACATATCAACATTTTTCGAACGATAGAAAGTAACCAGAACATTGCCCAGTAATGTCAAAAGCATTTCAGCAGCGGGCCATTCAGGTTTATATAAGGCAGTAAGCAAATCATGCACAAATTGATCAAAAAGACGTCGATAATCTTCTTCCGATTTGGCTGTACACCTGCAAATCGGGACAACAATGATCTATATCAAAAAACAAAAAATAAATAAAAAATCTGCATACCTGAGTTCATGATTCAACTGCACAAAAGCGAGAAATTAATGCAGGATAAATAACACTAATTCATTAAGTCCTTTGATTATTTTAAAAATCCAAATTTTGAAAAACAGCAATCAAAACAAACTGCGGTTAAAGACGGAAAATAGTATTTGATAAACTTACTTAGCTAGAAATCCACTGAGAAACAACGATGCGATTTTCTGACATTCAACCACAGAATCTTTGACTATAGTATCATCAACTGTTGTTTCTTCACTAACATCTAAAGGTTCATCAGACCGTCGTCGTCGTGGAACCTTCAATATTGAATTAAATGTTAAGACATTACCTAATTTTCTTGAAATAAAATGATAAGGTGATTAATCGTTAGCTGCTCTTATCATCGTCCTGTTACGAAAGTTATGTTTGACGAGCTGACACCAATTTTATTTAGTACCCGATTCAACAATCTACTGCCGATACTACGGAATAAAAATTTTGAAGTGAACGAACTTGAAATAAAGTGCAATATCTCAAATCACTTGACCTTTTGCTGGAGATATCACAAGCAAAAAATGTTGATAAATCATATAAGATACCTCACTTCCTTTTATGTTTAACCGAAACCTCGAAAACGACAAGCGTATCATACGTACTCATATTAAACACCAAAACCTCGAAACAAAAGTTACAAAATTTCCGGATTTTCCCTCCCATTTCCTCCCCCAAGATCACCAATTTTTTACAGTAAGCAAGATAACAAACTAATCAAAAGTAGTTCACCGTTTACCTTCACAACACTTTGCACAAGTTGCATAATGAGAACAGTCATGTTACTGATCCATTCATCAGCAGTCATACGATAACTATTTTTGGAAGTTTTTGTCGGAGGAAGACGATGAACAGAACTGAGCAAATCCTTGAAATTTTTTAAAAATTAATTTTCCTTCTTAACTGACAAAATGAAAAAGAAAAAATCCAACTAATTATGACCATGACCAACTTGAATGATGCTTTTCCGAAAATTTTCATAACGCGAGAAAATGGCCGAGAGAAGTTTGATGGATTGCATTTGTAATTCACCAACATTGTCCACAAAGAATGGTCCTGATGCCAGAGTACACAGTTGTAGGACGGCTGTATCTGTTAAGGACTGAGTACGGACCTGAAATTTTCGAAAAAAAAAGGTAGCAAAGTGACCAGTTTAATGAAATCCGGTCGAATGAAAAAAACAATCGCGTAATAATAATAAATTAATAATAATAATAATAATAATAATAATAATAATAATAATAATAATAATAATAATTAATAATAATAATAATAATAATA